GTCTTGGAAGACGCCCACATTGTTAAGCGCAAGCTAGTAACAGCCCGACGACCGTTTGTTATCTCTTCCAGAATGGCACCCGATGGTGCCCTGGATGTGGATGTGCATGGGCCGGACAAGGTAAGAACGGGGTTGGACTGCGTCTGACTGAAGAACTGGCAGGGTGCACCAATGGTGCACTTTTCTCACATTTACACCAAGTCGCGTTCCATGCCTGTTCTATTCCCAATGGTGTTAACCTTCTGCAGAAGCGTCAAAAGCTGGCAAAATTGACGGGGTTGGGCTTCGCCAGGGACATGGCCGAAGTCATCGTGGAAACGCTTGGGATGGACCCCATCGGGCAGTCGGCCGATGCCGCCATCGCCAATACATGGTCTGAAGAAGGCTTGGTGGACTTGGCGTCAGTGAAGACCGTGGCTGGCGGTAAGAACCACTTCAGCCTAATTTGGTTTCACCGCTTGCTGAACAGGACTGGACAGGACTGACCAGGACTGACCAACCACTACAGGGTATACTTTATCCGACGCTTGCGCTCTTTGCAATGGGTCTTGTTTTAGGTCGATGCCTACGCCCATACCAATGGAAGTTTGGGACCCTGGCATGTAACCGACTTTGTTAGCCGCTGCCTGTGACGCCGACTCCATTCGGTTTTGTTTTGAACGAAAGGTGCAAACTTGCTGTTTTGTCACCGCCTTCTTTATGTCTTCCTTGCTGGCACAGAGGTCGAAGTCAACGCACAGCTGGCGGATGCGGATTCCGAGGTGGCAATCAAGTCGCTGAGGGCCCTCGCCCCGAACCTTAAAGCTCTCCAAGCCCTCAAGCTTGCAAAAGCAGCATGTGCCCCGACTGCACAGCCCGCTGACGAGTTGGGCGAGGATGCGTCACCACGGCTGGAGAAAAAGCGCAGGACTAATGAAGAGATGGCCAAGGCCGTGTGTTTGAGTTTGGTTTGCTATGGGACGCGACTTATAAGCAGAACTTCCTTGTGTTTGAGTTTGGTTTGCTATGGGACGCGACTTGCAAGCAGAACTTCCTTGTGTTTGAGTTTGGTTTGCTATGGGACGCGACTTATAAGCAGAACTTCCTTGTGTTTGAGTTTGGTTTGCTATGAGACCCGACTTGCAAGCAGGACTTCCTTGTGTTTGTTTGAGTTTCCATGTAAGCAACTATGGACAACTAAACCATCCATCCTTGGCCTGTTTTGCAGTCCTGTCAGTATTCCCAGTTCTGCACCTGCAGCCTCATTTTACAGCAGAACACCCAATTCTAATCCTCCAACTGTGTTCCCAATCCTGTGGCAGCGAGCTCATCCTAAGCTTGCGAAAGCCTGCAATCCCCGTCCTGTCGACCAGGGTCCCATCCCCATCCCTGGCCAGGGCTCCCAATCCCCTCCTTGGTCAAGGTTGCAATCCCCATCCCTCAGACAGGGATCCCATCCCCATCCTCACCCCCGACAGCAATCCCCATCCCAAAAGTAGTGTAGCACGCCTAATCCCTAATCCTCGCCTTGGGCCCCACATTCCATCCTGACGTCGTCAACCCTATTCCCCATCCCGCCTGACCAGTAACTGCCCCCAATCCCCCATCTCTGCAACCCTCTGTGCGGACCAGCGCAGGGTACACGGATCAAGTTCGTCGAACAACCTGTCAGCCGACAGACTTGGTGTCGTATCCAATAGCCTAAACACATCATTCTGCCCGACTACTGCAACCCCAACGTCGACAAGTATGCAAAAGGTCCTGATTCCTCAGCACTAGCTTCCACCGTCGCACGCTAGACCCGTTCGCGAGTAGCCCACACCGTCGGCGCTGCAGCTTCCCACAACAGACTTCCATGCCCCGTCGGCGTCGGCGCTGAAGCCACCCGCATCAGACCGGCATGCCCCGTCGGCACCAGAGCCGCAGGCAGAACTCCACCGTTTTCATCATGCTTTCAGGTCTTAGGTGTTATCATTACCAAAATTTCATCGAACTTCACTGTTACTTGAGGTCTTAGGTGTTACGGACTGTGAGGGTGTTAAACTTCCAACTTCAATTTAAAGGAAACAGAAAATAATACTTTTCTCATTTCATTTTTCATGTGCGCGTACATGTGTGTGTGTCTCCATTTGTCTCAAAGCAACCCAAACATACGCGAAGACCGGTCGCGCGCGTCGGCCTGACAGCTCCAAACGCTGGCTATGGTCATACTTTATCACTAGGACATGATTGGGAGCGTCGAGCAGCACCTTTTCGGTCCAAATTCTGCGGGTCCGGTTCCGGTCCAGTGGCCGGTCGCAAAGGCTGTCGTACCCGGTCCGGCCGGCGGGGCTAACCCTTAGCAACGGGAACTGCATCACCCAGTTCGAGTTGTACAGGGGTCTTAGGATGATAGCCATAGTTCAGGAAGAATGGACTAACTCCTGTCGAACGATTCTTCGAGTTATTAATCGCAAATTCAGCAGGTCCAAGGTATGTCTCCCACCGTGAAGGTTCCTGATCACAGTAGTTTCTCAACATGTCTCCAAGGACGCGATTAACTCGTTCTGCCTGACCATCAGTCTAAGGATGGAAAGCAGTACTCATCGGTTGCTTCACCTCTAGCCTCTTCATAAGAGAGGTCCAGAAAGCACCAGTAAACTTGGTGTCACGATCTGAGACGATGGTGTCTGGTAAACCGTGAAGCCGTACCACGGTGTCAAAGAATAAATCTGCAGTTTCTTCTGCGTCTATGTCTTTCTTGCATGGTCGTACATGCACCATCTTAGTCGGTCTACAAACACCACAAGGGAGTTGTAACCTTTTCTAGTCGAGGGCAGTCCGAGTACAAAGTCCATTGAGACGCTG